ACTAAAAGTATTTTCTAAAGCTGTGTATTATTGTATTCACAAAATGCTTGAAAATGTCCGCTTGGTTGCAATACATAACTCTGTTGTTTAAACATGTGCAGCTCCTTAACCATATACAGTATGGTATAAATCCTTTGACATTTAGTTTAAACTGATAATAATGAATATAAACAAGTTTCCCAGCAGTAGATGTGTTGTAGATAATTTGACTGCATAGGAATGTCTTATCTCTGTATTTAACCCCTTAAAATCAATCTTTATTGAAGGATATGTTAACAGTTTAAAATCTCATTGCAAAACAATAATGCAGATAGGTATTTGTTACATTTGACTGGGTAAAAATCTAGTGGGAATGTGGTTTAAATGTTTCCTTGTTAGAAAATACATAGCTGATTTCCATTAACCAAAATGTTTTATCGCTCTGCTGTATATTACCAGAAACACAGAAACCCAATTTTTTTCGCTGTTTATCTTTGAGAAGTATCCAAACTTAATCCTGTTGAATTACTGGCTTCCCTTTATTTTGAAGATAAATCTCATCAAGAGCCTACTGTCTTAAACAATAAAGTGCATCTTGTCCATTTATCAGCAGACACTAGCAGTGACTTTTATCCGACGTACACCACTCAGTCCTCGGCGTTTAAGTAAACCGTAATCAATTTTATCTTCAAAAGTTAAAAATCAACTGACAAATGAAATTGAATACCAAATAAATTCAACTAACGGCATTCAGATGAAGAGGTGATTAAGAATGAACTCCTTTATCAGTGCCTTTAATACGTTTAATGTTTTTCACGCAGAAGTCTAACCAACAAATGGAGGTTACCAGCCAATAGATACGACAATTAGGAACAGTTAGGACAATATAAAAATCAAAGAATGATAAAATTAGATTCAAGTCCATTACAGATCTTCAGAGTTTAAGTGACATTAATTTGCTTTATTTTCGGTTCTACAGTTTGGGTCAGGAAACAAGCAGATTCTTTCAAAATGTCATATACCTTTCTGCAACAATGAGAGACAGTGTTTATGAAAAAGGTCCGACTCGTTTTTTTATATTTTTCGTACAGAATTATAAAGAATTGTAACTATTCTTGTAACTATAATTGTAACTATTTAGCTACAGAAATACATTAAGGAATAAACCGAGAAGTCTAAAACATGATACACATCCTATTTTGCTGTGTGCGCATCTTTGTACAGTGTAGGCAGCGACCAGTTTTTTCTAACACCTGTTGTTAGGGGGCGTGAGATGATACAAGTTTTCCTGCCCCTGTTGCCAACGGACCAATCCAAAGTGAGCTCCTGAGTCACGTGAGAGGGGGCGGGGATTTGTTAGTTGAGAGTGAACGGCGGTTCTGAGTTTCAACCCTAAGCAACTACACAAATACTGTAGCGGCAGAGGGGATATTTAAAACAAACGTGTCGGATTTTTGTCGTGTTTGTGGGAATTACGAGAAGTAGTTTTCGCGCTTCTCATAGTGCAATGTTACAGGATTGCAATTCAAGTGAGTAAATC